TACGTCACTGAATAAACAACTACTGAATGGTTATAAATCACAATAATTGGTCTAAAATAGATTTATTGCCGTGTGGTCTCGGCATAGAATGGGCCGCCGCTTCCTTTCCCGTGGGTGTCGTAAGAGTCGGTTAAGGAAACTTAATGGTCGAGGCATAGTTAGCAGCGGCCCTCTTGAAACATCACCAAAGTCTAACTGCGGTTGTCAACCATCCAGCCAAGCGTGACAATTACTGGCAAAAACCCCTTATAATGGAGGCCTATGATCAGCAGTGGACAGTTAACTGTTATAATAAAAGTATTTTATTTTTAGTTTTATGTGTACACTGTCTATGTACTTTACATATTATAAACGGCCATATATGTAGGAAAATTATTAAGTATCTAGTTAAAATATGTATTATATTTGTTGTGAATACCTAAATGATTAAGACTATGTCAAAATTAAACAAGCTGCAATGTCTTTATTATTTGTAATAATAAAAAAAAATATTTCACTCCTCAATCTCTCTCTTGCTACCTCTCCCTCTCTCCGACATTTAGGAATTTCAACCGACTTCAAAAAGAAGGAAGTCCTTTATTCGGTTGTTTGTTTTTTATGTTTGTTACCTCATAACTACGTCGATTATAAACCGAATTGGTAAATTTTTCCTTTATTTTTATACAACTTAGAATGGCAAACAAGTTGACGGCCCACCTGATGGAAAGTGGTAACCGTCGCCTATGGATATGATAGTACCATGGACATAACAGAGTATACTGTTAAGCCCCAAATTCTTTTTTATCTGAAAATACATATTTACAGGTTCAGTAGTTTAGATTTTAAATTCAAATAACTGTCTAATATTTTTAAGACCCTTCATATATATATATATATATATATATATATACTCATCTACAGACACTGTCTAGTTCCATTTTATCATATTATTAAGATTCTGTGACATTGTTATCTCAGTTCGTCAGTAAACTAGCTCGAAGATAAATGCAATTGGAGCAAGTGTGACGTGATGCAGCATTCCTTGTCGATGACGTCGCATATACCGAACCGAATTATTGATCGTTCGATGAATCGTATGTTCAATTCACATACACCATATATCGATTATTATACACATTCCCTTACTTCGTGTGTACGTGATGGGAATTAATTGGGTCACTGTCATGAATAGCTTGAATAGTTGCGTGGGCTTTTGTTGTGTTGCTTTTAAACGCCCCCTACATAGCTTATTTTCATTTGTTAATTTCTCGTTGTTGCTTTCGATCTTGTTTGTATATGATATTTGAAATGTATTCTGTCTGTGTACATAATATCGATAATAATACTTTACTAGTTTTTACCTACAACTCCGTCCGCTTGACTGGCACTATGTTTACTGACTTAAGATAAGCTAAAAGTAGCCTATGTTCACCATCCCACAATGTACGTGTTTGGGATTGTATATTAATCACGTTAAGTTTTTTTTTAGCAATTTCTTAACCCCCTCCCCTCTCCTTGGTGGTACATGGTAAAGTTTTAAACTATTTTTTGGACTGGTAGTCCTCATTACTCATACTCCTACTGACACTATCATTCTTTGCCGTTCCTGAAGACTAAGATGTTATATCTCTGTACCCTGTAATTTAACTGTTATATCCGACATTTCAAATTCACACAGCTATGCAAACACAACTTTCACGGCATAAACATAAATGGAATACGGGAGAGATTATATACCCAATCAGGTCGACCGCACGCTGGGGGCGCCCTGGAAACCATCGTGCTTAATTCCTGATGAATTCGTCATGATGAGCTAAAACAACTGTTTTTACTCATCTATCACTCTTCACTGGTGCTCCGCCAGCGTATTTCGTTAGCGCCGGCGGGAATGACATTTCATTTCATCATAAAAAAATATAAATGGGGTAGAGGTACCCAAGCAGACGACTTTTGTACAAACTCTCCCTCTGATCTTATATATTTTATATATCGTCTTAATATCTTGTATTAGCATGTATGTCATCATCATCATGTCTTTATCGCTATGTTCATCCAAGTATCTGTACAGTTTGCAGATTCAATATGATTGTTCAATTTCTGTTTTCGTACCAAGTCCATCAATTGGTCAGTGAAAACCGATTACCAAACATTGTCTATCCTCACATTCTTTGACTCATCCACTTTCGTAACTCGTTATGAACTTGATTTCACAAATTTAACGAGCCATCCAAATTCCTTTAGTCATTTATTATATATGAATAACAGCTTCAACTACTCGATGGATGAGTAGTGGTAAACTAAATTCACATTTTGCCTCATAAAAGTTTTTCGTCTTTGATAAAGAAAACAAATTGTTTATGTATTGTAATTAAAAATATACAGAGTATACTCTGTTATGACCATGGTACTATTCACGTCTAATGCGTTACCAATTTCCATTAGGTGGGTTGTCATCTTGTTTGCCATTCTAATTTGCATAAAAATAAAAATTAAGGTCCTGACCCTGTAATTTTTTAATGGGTATATATTTCTATCTTTTTTTTCTAGCGGAATATCAATGAAAGATGATAAATAAAGATGAAAGCAGATCAGTGACCCCAATGGAATTAAGCATCATGGTTTCCCAGAGGCAATCACGTGGAGATTAACCTGATAGGATAGATTGCTAGCAATGCTACTAACAATCCATTTGCTCCTTAGTCCTGTAATTAGAGCTCTTCTAAAGTTAGCAATTTAGTCATTAATAAATCGAAATGACAAAATTAGCACCTTGTAAAAAGCAATGTTACAGTTGTATTCAGTGAACCTAAAACCATTTAATAGCTCCTTTTTTTTTAATAGCTTCCGTAAAATTTATAACTCTATAGCTAGCACATTAATCCACTAAGCCATAGTTGTATTTGAACAACAAATTTCAAAACATCTTTACGTACTTTCTCATTCATATTAGCGGGTATTAAGATCAATCCATCGTTTAGCAGCCTGCATATTTTTTGAAGCATGGAGAAATGCTAACGACGCTGTAAACATATTGATAAGTGATGTGCCGAATCAGGCTGACTCGAGTCAGTACTCGAATGTGTTCTAGGTACTCAAATACTCAATATACAAAACTCGAAATCACGGTACTCGTATATAAGCTTCGAGTACTTTCGATACTCGAATACTACTCGTTTGTTTATCATGAGATTTTTGTTTCTGTATCAACATTTTTTTAATATTTTTCTAAAGAAATTTTTCTTTGGATTATAAACAATCCAAAGAAAAACTTGTGAGATTACTATCTTCATAGAAATAAACTTCAAAACTTCTATATCAATATAAAATGATAAACTTCACATTGATGTAATCTACTAACTAGTGTATTGACTAATTTTATGTATTATATTATTATTAAAATGTTGATGTATAAATAATGGGGCAAATAAATTAACATTTATATATAAAAATAACATAATAAAATAATATACTTAAAAATAATATTAAGTAACAAACATTTACATGTCTATATATGACGAAACATGTAGTTATGTTATTTTATATTTAACCTTGTATCTCAAGTTTCAATGATAAATAAATTAATTCAAAAATTATTGGAAAGTATAATAATAATAATTGAAGTGACTATTCAAAAGTACTAAAATATTCCAGTACTCGTCTGAATCTTCAAACTCGAGCCAGGATTCGATTATTTTTGTCTAATGAATACCAAAATACTCGAACACCAAAAATGGCCGACTCGGCACATCACTAATTCAGATAATCGTGGTGAATTTGCTGCGGTCCATTTCGAAAGGCCATATTTATTGGTCGTATCACATCAAAACGCTCGCTTTATGGGACTTTAACATGTGAGTGAAAGCTCTGATAATACGTTTCTATTGTGATCTAGTACAGTTTGTTCCATTAAGTAATAAAATTTTGGAGTTTTACGCAACGTCTTAGTCACAATTGGATGAACAGTACCAAATTGCTTCTAATTACTTAATTACGGATAGGTAACCATTGGATGGGTTAACGAAGATTTAGCGCTCAAAAAAATAGTGGGTATCATCTACAATTTAGCAGAAGTAGGCGAAAGGCATGGGCAATATAGATACCGATCTGATATTCTTCTGTACCATTGATGGCGAGAAAAAGGTCATCACCCGTTTCGATATCGCCCATTTGGGTGAATATCTATTTTCGAATATGTTAAAGGTCTATTTTACAATACTAGTTTTTGGATAACAGATTTTAAACATGTTCGTTATTAGACTAGTATATAGATAATATAACTAAAATACATAGATACTGCTATATATGTATTACGCACCCTTAGTACGCAGTTGTTTTCTTTATATTTAGAACATTCAATGCGGGACTGTGCTTGTGGATATTTTTATTGGAAATAGTTATGATCCACAAAAACCTATAGAAAATTTGCTTTACAACTTCCTTGATGCAGTTGTTGGCACGTACAGCTTTACATAAATGTCTTTTCAGGTTCTTTTTGTTTCGGGTCAATTTAGGAAAGGAACTTTTTTAAATTGACTCAGCATTAGCTATTTTTGGTTGTCCCCAATTGATCATTGCTTGATTATATCGGTGTTACCCAAGCCTAAATATTATGATATTTAGGCTTGGGTACTACACAATAATCAAACCAATATGATGTAATTTTGTAACATACTTGCTAATTTAGAGTTTAATAGCTAATCTGGCAAACATTTTGTTGCCCTTGTAGGTCACTAAACAGAACAAAAAATGTCGTGTCTCAAGTTGAAGAAAACAATACATATCTATAAAATTTTATTACATTCGATAGAGCAGTTTTAAAGATTAACATTAAAAATATAATTTTTATATAATAAGATATGGATTTGTAACTTAGTTTCAGAACCAGGCTATTAAGAACAAATATACTTACTGTTATTTTAGAGTTGATGAATTATTAATCTAACCGTAATCTAATATATAACATTTCGCATCGATGCCTCCACGCATAAATATATGACTAACTCAACATTTTTCGTCCACAGCGTCAGCAGAAGCCCTAGACCGAGCGAGATTAGCACGAGAGAGACGCGAAGCCGAGCAGAGGAAACGGCTAGACGAACTGCGCGCACACGCCGCGGCTGCGCAAGCGCAGCGGGAGAAACGGGACGAGGAGCGCCGCCGCAGGCAAGCTGAACAGCGCGCGAGGGATGATGACAGGCGGCAGCAGGTCGGTGTCAATATACCTATCGTCAGTAAAATGTAGTCTACTTATCGAGGGGGAGGGGATTATTTGTATGGGAGACTAACTGCCCCATTGCTGATAATATACTTCAGCAATTCGATCACTAAGTGATCGTACTGGAAACCATCATTTCTGGTGAATTGGCTACGATGGACTCACTAACCTGATTTCAATCTCACCTATTATCATCTACTTCCCCATTGTATATAGTAGCGCAGGCCAGGTTACGGTTCCATTTTCATAATTTTAAATATCTAGTAACAAGTTTAAGTACAAGATTGGTTACCATTCTGTATTGTCGTAATATACTAGTGCATAAGTACTTATATAAACTGCTATATGGTTTCTACAGTGAATGAGTTACTCCTTCCTTACCCGTGAGTATCGTAAGAGGCATCTAAGGGAACTTAATGGTCGAGGGATGGGCAGAAGTGCCCCTCATAAAATATCGCTAAAGCCTAACTGTAATGTATTTTTATTGGTGAAAATGGAATGATAATCTCGCGCGCGCTATCAGAATACACTGGCGGGGCATCAGTAAGAGATAATAGGTGACGATGAAAGCAGGTCAGTTAGCCCATTGTGATGAATTACACTAGAATTAACCACGATGGTCTCCAGGGGGAGTTAGACCCGTGAAGGTCGACCTAATAGGATATATTGCCAGCAATGGAGCTGTTAGACCCTATTACCAACACTACCTTTCCCCCCGTCTAACTGTGGTTGCTAACCCGTCTGCCAAGCGTGACTACTACTGGCAAAACTGCAGGGGGGGGGGGCTATGATCAGCAGTGGACAGTAAACGGCTAGCATGATGATAACGATATGTACTCATTCAAGACAAAATGTCCTCCATTCCAAATAGTAGTTGTATACCAAATTTCGTAGCGATTAGTCGAAAAAGCACCATCTATATTTAATTTATAGTATCAACAGTTATTATTGCCTTTGTTATTAAAATGCAATTAATGTGTTCACATGAAATACATGGGAACTCTTGCACCAATTCGTTCATTAGAAGTATAATGAGTATGCATTGTATCCAATTACACGTTTCTTATTGCAAATCATTTATTACAATTCAATCATGATAAATTAGCAATATATAACCAAAATATGGCCGTGTCGTTCCGGCATAGAATAGGACACCCATCCGGGGGGTCGTAAGAGTCGACTAAGAGAGGACGAGGAATGGGCAGCAATGTCCCTCTTAAAACATCTCTAAAAGCCTAACTGTGGTCGCCAACCTGCCTGCCAAGCGTGGCAACTACTGGCAAAACTCCCCTTGCGGGGAAGGCTTATGTTCAGCAGTGGACAGTTAACGGTTGAAATAGAAAAAAATAAGAAGAAAATATTTATAGGGTTTGAATATAAAGCATAACATATGTAGTGCATAAATAATATATTACATTATTAGTAACTATATAGTTAATAACAGAGTACAGATAAATAAAATTATAAATATAAATTATATTTGTCTATGTAAAATGAGTTTTAGTTTTATTTATTCGTTTTAACTCACTATTTAGTTTTGTTTACATTTATCAATATAACAATTGGACAAATATTAAAATTAACACCATCGTTTCACCATTAGAGTTTGTCTCGTGACGTCTAGTCAATTGACGTCAAATTGTCGCCTTGTTATGACGGCAAACAGTGGTTTCTTATGTACATTTTGTATACGACTTTACCGTAACTAATAGATTTAGAAATAATGTTTTATGTAAAATCATGATTCAGGTCAAATAGTATACCAGTATTACAACATACTTGACACGGAATCAAGTATGGGGGCTTTGACAGTCTATGGGGAAGGTCTATGTTTAGCAGTAGACAACACCTGTTAATATGATTTTCATATTGAAATACAACCTCTCTCAATGTAAAATACGGAAATTAAAGGATTGTCGGATAAGATCTTATGAAAATATATTTTTGATTGCAATTAAACTTTAACTAAACTGAAACTAGAAAAGAGTTTGATGACCTACTTAATGATAATTAAAGATTGTGTCTCACTAAAGAAAACTACTTTAAATGTAAGAAAACCAGTTGAAAACAACTGGTTTTGTTACATTTAAAGTAAAACTAAACTAATTAATCAATTTTGATAAAATTTCTATTTGGGACCAATCTGTAAGTATATCCTTTCAGATAAAAAATAGATTTTTTCGAATCGTAACCTAACTAACAAATAAATACAACCTATTGAGAACATACTTCTTTTTGAAGTGGATTGAAAATGGTAACCATAGACTTGTACTCGTACAACGGTACGTAAATAACGGATTATATTACAGTATCGATGGCACCTCTTATGCCTTTATTTATACTAAGATTATTTTCCTCTTCTACCAGTTATTGCACTTTTTTTCCGAGGCCAACCATTCGGTAGCGTTTATAGCAGTTTATAGTAAGTTACTTGCATTATAAACTCTATAGATTGCTACTGTAATTTCTGACACAAGAGATATAACTTCAAGCATGTTGTTCAGTCTACAACAATAGAAACATTGCCAACACCTGAGCGGGATCATGGACGTAACAGTTTTCTCAATTCTGGATGTCCGCGATGTTGTCAACGGCAAATATTTCCGTTCTTTCCGTTCGCTCTCTTTCCGTTAGATTGGTAGAAAATAAAACATGTGTTTATAAAAGGAACAGAATTTCATCACACCTTCGTTCAAATTGTTCAAAAACTTCTCTCCAACTATATTGTATTGTTGTATGGGAGAGATCACTTTTAGCGATAACGCTGCCCATTACTTTCTGTGATGTTTCTTGTAACTATTGTTTTTGCATAGTTTTCTTCTATATTCTTTTGGATGTAACAATAGAGTATCTATCTATATTTATATTGACAGTTCTAGAAAGGTAATATACAAATTTCATTGAAGTAAATTCTCGTACAATATGCAATCTCTCGCAGAATGCGACGCACTAACCGGACTGCAATACATCGTAACTTCACTTTCTCCATTCAAGTAATATAATAGTTACGTACGGTGAAAATTAGAAATTACAGTGCACTGCGAAAACAAAACAGGCACCAGCAGTTGTAAATAATGACAAAACGCTAATGGAAATTACACAGTCATTTTTAGAAGACAGTGCGTAAACGATGAAGACTTGATATCGAATCGAAGGTTAGGATATATAATTTTATTACAATTCAAATAACGAACAGAACCCGTTTGGATCTATTATTTCCATATTTGTATTTGAATGACGAATGTGACAAATACATATGCTGTCCAATAACAAGTTTCATGTGTGAATCATACATTTGCAAACAGCCATACCGCATGACCGTAATGCAATAATTAGGTATTATCTTCTCTAAGTGGGGATTCCGCTGATTCTCAGTCGGGCAACTCTTGCTAAAGGATCTATGATATGTCTTATCTCTCTTATGTTAAAATTAGAGAACTTATAAACCTAGCAATTTCTTTTTCTCTTTTTTTTTTGTCGTCAAACTCGTGTCTTGTCTGTGAACTTAGGTATTAGAAAAACTGTAATTTAATGCTTCCTGCATTAGAAAACCAATTAAGCGTATTAACTTGTTTTTTTTTTGTTATTTTGACTAAACGTAAAGCTATTATATTTGTTATCATCATTACAAAGGTGCTTCTAAAATTTGCATCTTTCGATTCTTTAATTATAACTTGACTAATAATTACCCACGACTTTGTTCACGTAACTATAATGTATGAATTGATCGCGTAACAAGTAGCTTATGTCCTTTTACTACAACATGTATTTCAAATTTTATGACGATTTCAAAATCCCTATCTAATCTCACAATCATCTATCTTGGTGTTGGTAAAAATAGTTTTTCGTGATGCGTTCCGTCTGTCGAATCAATTAGACCCTCAGGATTACGCTTGCCAATTAGCACAGTTTACTGTTGCACACACTCTCTAAACGCTGCTACATCAACTATCTGTCCATTGTTACGTATTTTCTTATTATCTTGCAGACAATTCTCATTCTAAAGAATACTAATATTTTATTATGAGTCATTCTATAGTTTTCCATTCATATATTAAATAACATCGTTACGTATAGGTTCATTATTAAGTATCCTTTGTAACCGGTTGAAATTCTTAAAATTCGTAAGAGGTCACGGTCTTATAACATGCAAAATTCTTGCTTTTAATGACATATATTTAAAAAAATAAATTCCTATATTTAAACTGTAGGATTTTTGTTTTCGATAACTAACTAGTTTTATTATTTTATTCTAGAGGTATATTTTCTCGATCTCCAACTTTTTTTACTTTTATGTGTGTATTACAAAACCAAATATATTGATTATTCCATGAAGTGTTGGTTCTAGTACATTAATATTTTCCATACAGATTTTAAATGGGATGTAATGAAATAATTACGAGTTATTCACATATGAAATATCAAGTTTCACGGAAATCACGCGCGGAAGGCCATGGAAACACTTTAAAGACTCTTTTGATGTTTAATCTATAGAAAAGTCTATAAAAAAATGTATTACAAACTTCCGACCACTACTTTTGGAACTTGGTTTTTACACGTGGATTTTGGAATTAGATTAACATTTGTGAAAACCGTATTCAATTTGAAGCAGTAGTTTTTACGTTATATCGGAGCAATCAAATAGGCAAAAAATCCAAAGGTCTTTGTTTTAGGTTCTTTGAAAGCAAATTAATAAAAATTAAGACCCGTGATATCATTTTTTATTAAATATCTTTCATGTACAGCATTCGTCTAGTTGCAATTTTATTATAATACGAGCAGCAAGTTCAATGCTGTAATATATAGACAGAAAATACATACGTGATGAAATGATAAGTATTTTGTTTTAGACATTAGAAAGATGCTTGGAGCTAGTTATGCAGAAAGAAGTCATAGGTAATGTCCACAAGAGATGGCTGCTTTCTGCATAACTAGTTCCACTTATTGTAATCAGCAATGGCTTATTCCGATACAGGCCTTTGTCCAACAGC